GATGACCGTACTAAACGTGGTTCCGCTGTGCCTTTAATGCCCTCTTAGCAGCCACGTGTATTTGAGTAATCACAAACTATAACTTGTTCCAGCAGAATGAAAGGCTAAATTTTCACCGCTTACTCGAATCCGATCTACTTTCCTCCAACAGTTCCTAGGAAGCGCGCGGGCTCCTTTCTGGAACAGCGGCTGGTAAGCGAGCCCAGCAGAATGACTGATACCCAGACTTTACGGACGGGTTTATAAATTGAACATCGAATTTATTGATCTTTAATATGCGGCTCAAGAATTATTCTGGACGGAGTTACCTGCTGAAACCCGATTGCTTCCTTCGTTAAGGCTGTTTTTATTTTTTCACTAAGAGTAGGTTTACACTAGAGGAAATTGTTCCGGAATGTTCTAGTACCGGATTAGTTTTGCTGTTTACACACAAGTGGACGAATCCGAAATAAAAACTCCCCGGTTTGGTCATGTCTCCGGAGATTTTTAATCCGGGACTTAAAGTGGGAACTTTGAATCCGGAGAGTTTTGTAATGTAAACGATTTCCTCTCAAATCCGGATACTTTTCCGCCTGCGATCTTTTGACTTTTCGGAAGAACAAAAATGGCTGATCTAGTAATGGCCACTGATGCGAGGCAGCCTGCCCCGCACCGCTCCGATCGCTTCGCAGCCGTTTCGCGCTCGTTTTTCGTCCTCGCCGGGAGCCTGTTCACAGGTTAATGTAACAGACCTCAACGAGCAATATAGTCATACAAGACTGATCTGATTTTTTTTCCTGTCCTTTATTTCGAAAGCAGTAGATTACTCTGTTCAGATGTAACGTTAATGTTACTGAGAACATCTTTATCTCATAATATGGATCTAGGTGGCGTGGCCTAGTGGCTAGGGCGCTGGAATTATGAGGTCCCGGGTTCAAATCCTCCACCCTGCCACTAGATGGATCTTTTGCTTGGTAGTCCCAAATTCAACTCCTGCACGCTTTGTAAATGGGTCAGCCTCCCGACAGTTGGGATTTTTAACAAGTTTCTGTTCGATTAAAAATATTTATATGCTTATTTTCAGTGTCCCCAATTAGTACAGCAGTGCTAAACACTTCGACACTTAAATAAAGTGATTTGATTTATTTTATCTATCTATCTATCTATCTATCTATCTATCTATCTATCTATCTATCTATCTATCTATCTATCTATCTATCTATCT